TCCTGAGTATGTCTACGAGTGTTTTTAGGCCAACAACTCCCATTCTGTTCTGGTTGATGTAACGAAGTGTGGCTTCCACTTGATTTTTATGTCCCGCGGTCCTAGTTTGGTACACCCAGGGTATGCAGTCTATTCAGTGAAAAATCATGTTCATCAAAACTGAAAGCCTCACAGCGTTTAGTCTCTCGTATGGCGTTGATGTTGTCTCTCCTCTCCATAGAGGGCCCATTCTGATAGCTGCACTTCCAGCCAGAGTGTCTGTTCTCTCATTGCCTTTCACACCAGCATACCCTAGGACAAAAATGAAGGTGATTTTTCTACAAGCTGCGTGCTGTATCAGATGTAGCCACTGTTTCCATACGTACCCATGCTTGATCTTCTGTAGCATGCTCATTGTGCAAAGATGCAATGTAGGTTCTAGGGCCCTTGTTACAGCCATGACCTCTATTGTAAACTGTGTTCCATTGTATACCATCAAACCTACACACCGGCATCTTCTACTTCTCAAAAGATGTCATGGTATTCATTTAAGGCTTCAGTGTTCATTATTTATCGCATGTGTTGTGTTGTTCTTCCATCCCGAGTGATAAAGACCACTTTCATTCAAAGTAGTAATGATCAATGATTATGAGTACGAAGGTGACTGATTAGTCCAATATAATATTATAATAATAAAACCACTGCCTACTTTAAAGCATTTTGTAAGAGTCGACTAATTGGGAGCCTCCTTCGAAACCGGAGTGCCTATGCCTGAGAGGTAATGAACCAGCAGTCTGCATACAAATGAGTCAGATCTGTAAAACGGAAGCACACGCAACACTCACGTTCTGGAAAAGGACTGCAGTCCGAAAGTGGATGAACAAACAGAACTTTCCGCCAGAGTTAACAGCTGGTGAACACAAAGTAGAAGAAGTTCAATATGTGTCTGGAAAGTTTTTGATCTGTGCGGACAACATTTGGAATCCGCAGTAAGGTGACTTGCGCAAGGACTTAAATTTAAACGAGGAAGAGTTGCGCAATTCGTTGACCTCGCTCTCTCGCCTGGGTTCATCTTAATCTAATGTCAGGACAATGTCGAGACTATTGGAAATGGACCTAGGTGCAGTGGATGACCAAGGCGTCTTAAGAGCCCTGACTTGCTCGAAGCTCTTCACAGAGCCTGCTGGTAATTGCCTTCTTGTCCGTTAAACCAATAAGAGGTTTCATCCGCACAGTTCGCCGACTCCAGTCTTTGCATGCAGGGTAGGCATATCCCAATCACAGAGTGGTTAAGAATCACGTCTGCTACCCTTTCCTGGTAAGCCAGCCTGTCAAAGCTGTTGACAAAAGGGTGACCGCTGTCACATGCTGACAGCTGCTGGGAGCCACAGCAGAGAGCTGAGTGCCAGACCTTGCCCAATGGTGGTAAACGGTCATAAGAAGGACATGCCGGTTACCTTGCCAGAGATGCTACTAGTATCTGACACCCCCCCCCCCCTCCTTATCGCATGTACCACACCATGAAAAGCAAAACAAGACTAGGGAAGAAGCATTTACTAGCTGCGGTTGCTTATCCTTAATTAAAAACACTATTGTCAGCATGCCCATTTTGCCTTGTATACTCGTAAAACACATTTCACACATATCGCTATCAAGGTACACTAGAGCCACACACATACACACAAAAAACCGACACACGACAAACTGTATTTCTGGTGGCGACTGTTGGCTTTGATGCCTCTAGCAACTGCCATACGCATTTACTGCGTGCGCATATTTCTGGATTGTTCCGGGACTAATTGTGTGTTCACCAGTTTTTCAAATGAGACAAGGAGGGTCATTCCAGTTGATTCGCACTGGCACAGAAACTGTGCAAATACGGGGAAACCCGATTGCAGTGAAGATAAAACCTCGACTAAGACTTACTACACTAGAGTATATTTTTTCATTTTAAATTATTTTCTATATCCAGGCAGTTAAAAAATTCAGGAAACTGGAATGCAAGTGTCATGGCGTCAGTGGATCGTGTACCATCCGCACCTGCTGGTTGGCGATGCAAGAGTTCAGATCTGTCAGCGCCCACCTCAAGACTCGCTACAACGGCGCTACTCAGATGATGATGAAACAAAATGGAGTTAGTCTGATTGTGGCCAATCGTAACCATAAAAAGCCAACTCGTTCTGATCTTGTGTACATCGAGGCCTCGCCGGATTACTGTGTAGAGAACCCAGAAGTTGGTGAGTACCTAACTTGTCGTTATGCTTTAAAACTAGGTTTAAACGACGGATCAGCATCATGGCACAACGGTAGTAAACCTAGAGGTGCTTCGTTTTTATTTCTGATTTGAGCCTGGGGCCAAAGAATCTCAGTGCAGTGAACGAACTCCGTAGCACCGGCAAGGGTCCTAAAATACTTTCGGTAGATTTTTGACTCCAAATTTTGCCCGGGCAGCGCCGTTAGACTACTCGATTTCCAACCACCAAGGTTTTTTTTTGTGCGCAACAATACACACGGGCGTCCGATCTTACTGCCCAGAGACCAGGGGAAATTACTAGAGAAGTCCACGAGAAATATTCCCAGCCTTCACCGGGGCTTGAACCCGGGACCTCCAGCACTCAAGGCGGACGCTATGCCTCGAGACCACGCAGCCCCCGTATCGGTTATGTTATGACAATCGACCTCACTGCACACTGGGCGTTGACAGGCCTTCTCAGTCATCCAATGCACATGTTAGTCTCCGAGATTCGTCACTATCCCCCTAGCCAAGTTTGTACAGCGTTGATGATATCTGCTCCGTCTATGCTTCCTCTCACATGCGTTGATGCTTGGCTTGCCAGTTTGGTTCGCTTGATCATTCCCTCACTGCATACGGAGCGTTCACAGGCGTGCTCAGTCACCCAATACACCAGCCACTCCAAAGTATCTCTGCTGACTGTTCCCATGAGAAACAGTCCATGAGGTGGTTAGGTTTAAGTTAGTCTCCCCAAAACAAAGTAGGTCACTTTTCATTCACAAGTTTGTAGAGCTGGTCTACTTTTGCGCAGGTTACGGGTGTGCCTCTCTGTTGCTCGCTTTCTGAGTTGTCCTGCATTTACGTTTTTATTCCGAGAAAGAGAATGCCTGTGACACAGGTTGCAGCTCTCTCTAGGGGTGTTGTGTCAGACAAGGTTTGTCCATGTTTTTGAAGTGTTTAAAGCGCTAGCGTGCTAAAATATACAACAGGCGATTTCAACAGCATACTCCCGTAACCCTGTGGCAAGGTGACAGGTTCAGAAACTACCAACCAGAAGTGAGCTAGTGCGTATATGGGCGGTCCGTGGGGAGAACAGGGTTAATTTTACCCATAAGGCTATAACCAACATGTTTTAACGTCTCCCATGTAGACCCTAAAGGTGGCATAGGCTACTTCGTCCTGTTTTATACTCCCTGTGCAATCGTGTTAGCCTGCGAGATTTGATAATGTTTGCTCTGACCATACTTTCTATCCCATATGTTGATGCTCTGTTCGCTTGATCACTACCGGCTCTAGCTGACGGGTCATGCTGCTGACGTCACCGGGACAGGCAAAGATGCGTTAACGCAGCGGTTCTCAAACTGGTTGCCGAGGCTTCCCGGGGTGCCGTAAACGTATGCCAGAGGTGCCGCAGCAATAATCAAGAAAAGTCAGCTGAAAATTGTGAAATTATTAAAAAAAGGCATGTAGATATTTAAAAGTAAAAGTTTAAGTTGTCTACCCTCGCCACTGTCAAAAATAGTTTATTTCCAGTTTGAGAACCGCTGCGTTAACGCATGGTTAGCCCGACCTGGTGACATCAGCGGCATACCCCGTCAACTGGATCCGGGCGTGGCTTGATCATTCCCTTTTACGTCGACATGATTAGTTGTGTAGATCCCGGTGAAGGTAAAGTGCTCTTTTCGAATGCTGTCTTACCCATTGGGGCGCGTGCTACCTGCTGCAATTTTTTGAAGCATATTTACGGAGACCGATACAATTATTGCATGTGTGGCTGTTATTTGCTGTATGTGGTCATTTTATTACTTTGCATATTTCTTACACCGACATCTGAGTTCAGAGGCACTGAGGCAAAGAATACTTTGGGGATTCTCAGCGCCCTTACCAATGTTCAAAAGGGTGAAGAAGGAGAACTGAAGGAGCCTAAATTTTGTTTCAACTAGGAGTAGTAATATAGAAAGGCAAAAGTTAGAAAGATGGGGAGGACATGAAGAGAGCTCCATGCAATGGTTAAAGATAGAACGACTTGCCGTGAGTTCGTTGAGGGGCTATGCTCCATTGTGGGATAGAAAGGCAGAAGAAGAAGAAGAAGGAGCCGATGTTAAATCAAATCCTCGTGGTGTTTTACTGACCTAACTAAAAAAAATTATTATTATTTTTCTTCTTCTTCTTCTTCTTCTTCTTCTTCTTCTTTTTCTTCTTCTTCTTCTTCTTCTTCTTCTTCTTCTTCTTCTTCTTCTTCTTCTTCTTCTTCTTCTTCTTCTTCTTCTTCTTCTTCTTCTTCTTCTTCTTCTTCTTCTTCTTCTTCTTCTTCTTCTTCTTCTTCTTCTTCTTTCTTCTTCTTCTTCTTCTTCTTCTTCTTCTTCTTCTTCTTCTTCTTCTTCTTCTTCTTCTTCTTCTTCTTCTTCTTCTTCTTCTTCTTCTTCTTCTTCTTCTTCTTCTTCTTCTTCTGATCCTTCACCAGAAATAAACTAAACTCCAGCGGAAAGGTCTGGTTGTTCGTCCACTTCTTGACTTTGGTCTTCGAGAACTTGAGTTTTACCTGCACATCCCTTTCAAATAGCTGGCTAATTTGGGTGCAAACTGTTGGTTCGTTGCCTCTCAGACTGATGTACTCCGACTCCGAGGGAAAAATTCCTAATTAGACGCCTTTTACGACAGGCTTGTGAATAGGACAGTGTGTCTGTTGCATTCCTCACCCCCAGTTAGGTCTGAACCCATGCTGTGGAGTCAGATTCTGAAACTAATACTTGCAAACTTAGTAAGTCAAGTAAGTAAACGATATTGGGCATATAGGGCTAGACCTATATTTTTTAGACCAAAAGGCGCTTAAATGATTTGGTCAGCTTAACCCCGGCTGCTTCTACCTCCCACGACTGCAAACTTAGTGGTGGAATCTAAATCAGCCCCCCCCCCCAACCCCCCCCCCCCACCCCCCGCCATATCTACATTATACACGGGCGCTCGAGCCCGCATACACACGCGCTCTCTGAATGTAAAACATGACTTAGTGTCCAGTTTCTAACCCTTTGAAAATAAAGTTTGTTTGTTCGTTCATTCGTTCGTTAGTTCACACACACACACACACACACACACACATACACACACAAACATACACAACACACCCCCACACTGTCGCCTGCACGCACACGCACTGCACAGTCACCCAAGCACACGGTCTGCCAGCTTGTCTAAATTGTCTTGGTCGATCACCACATAATTCCCAATTACTTCGCCACTCGAATCTATTGTCTACGAGAAAACAGCTTTACACAATAGCTTCACACAGGGAAACTAAGAGTCGTGTAAAATGAGATGGTAATTTGAACTGGGTTCTCTCCCTCCGCACAAACTGGCCCCGGGTAAACACAGCAATGAATGAAATAGCCAGCAACTGACGAACCAGTTACAAGTTACAAGTCATTGAGAGACTGATTGACAAGTAAGTGACTGAAACGACGTTTGGCCAATTCAGTTGTCACGTGAAGCAAAGACGTATAACGCCCGGCCCGCAGGTTGTAACAGGCACGTAAAATTATTTTGTGTGGCCCTACCGTCCTCATCACCATGTCATGTGCAGATAAGCGTAGGTTGTCATGTTACTAACATATATTCTTTTCGTCCTTTTTAGGATGAAATTTTCGTTCTTTGAAGCCCTACTCTGGCTCTTGCCAGGGGCCGCAATATAGCCTGGCCATAAATATGGTCTAATGGCTGAACGTGGCTTCTGGGACCTCTCCACGGTGATCCTCACCGCATGGTGGCACTTTGTGTCATCGGGTGTTTGTCGCTTGTGTGATGTCCTGGTGGGGTAGAAAGTCAGTCAGTCAGTCATGTTACTGCATCTTACATAATCACATGAATCACAGATTAGGGCAGTGTTCTTGTCTCGTCCCATCCTTATGGTCAAGCCATCTAGGTGTTTATCTCGTTATCTCCCTTTGCACTTTCAGACAACCGTGAATAAACCGCTAACTTACCGTATTTGGGTTCTGCGGTCCCATGGGGGTAAGGGGTAGACTTATTGTCGTTGTCTTGTCTTGTCTTGTTTTGTCCACAATTGCCTCACAGCGTAGTGGGGAGTCGCAGTTTTCTATCCTGGGCCAGGTGTGTTGCACGTGTTGTTGTTAGTCCGTGTTGCCTCAGGATCTCTGATATATTGTCTATCCATTGTACTCTCGGTCTGCCTCTTGCACTAGGGCAGTAGTGCTGTTCGTTGTATGCTCGTAGAGGCAGTTGGTCGGTTTGCATTCGCATCAAGTGGCCAAACCACTCTATTTGTTGCTTCTTTATGTATTGCAGGCATGGTGTGGTTCCTACAATTGCTCTAATGTTCTCGTTTCGAACTCTGTCTCTCCTTTTGACATCTTATTGTCGTTAACGGCCACTAATTAGGGTATTTCCTTTGAAGTCCGAGTGCATCCGCCTGAGAGGTAAGAAACCAACAGCCTGTAAGCTAATAATAATATAAGGCTAGACCTATATATTTCATAATCCAGTCGGCACATGGTAGGTAATTCGTCAGCACCATGCCGGCCGCCTTTATTTCCCTGGACTATACCTGGTACCCTGGCTCAACCTGGGAGCCAAAATCAGTTTAAAACACTCAGGCTACCACGACGGTTCCCAGTAATAATTTTAATAATAATAATAATAATAATAATAATAATAATAATAATAATAATAATAATAATAATAATAATAATAATAATAATAATAATAATAATGTCCCAAACGACAAATCCCCTCCTCCTTAGCGTTCATCGACTGTAAAATTCAGCACAAAGTTTTGGTTGTTCATCCACGTCAGGACTTTGGTCTAGTTCCAGAACTGGAGTTTTGTGAATATAATGATATGCTTGGAACGTAGGTGATTTTTTTTTTAAAGAGCGCAAATGCTTTGAGCACCCCACGCCCCTAAAAATGTGTATGGGGGGGGGGGGGAGGTTGGGGAGAGGAGGGGCTGATTCCCCCTCCCCAACAGTAATTTACAGGGAACCACCC